AAAAAAAAAAAAAAGTGCTGGAAATACATCTCAGCAATAGAGCACTTGCCTAGCATGTGTGAAGCCCTGGGCTCAAACTCCAGTATAAAGACAGATATAAAGACAGGGGTGTGAAAGAACATAAAATGTTCAAGAAAGTGAGAGCCTGAGGCAGGAGGATGGTAAGTTAAAATCAGCTTTATCAACTTAGTTAGGTCCTGAGCAATTTATCAACAGCTTGTCTCAAAATAAAATATAAAAAGGGGGGCTGGAATTGTGGCTCAGTGGTAGAACATTTGCTTGTCATGTGTGAGGCCCTGGGTTCCATCATCAGCACTACATGTACATACATAAATAAAATAAAAGATCCATTTACAACTAAAAAATAAATAAAAATAAAAACAATAAACATAAAAAGGGTTGGGGATGTTGCTCAGTGGTTAATGCCCCTGGGTTTAATCTCTGGTACCCAAAAAGAAAGAAAGTAGCTGTGTGACCAGAGAATGGGTAAAGGGAAGTGTAGTCTGGGAGTGGCTTGAGAATTAGACTGGATTCTGAATATAAGGATGTTACCTTTGAAGGAGTTTGAATTATGTGGGCACTTGGGGGTCCACTGGTGCTTTTTTTTTTTTAATAGTTTTTAGTTGTCAGTGGATTTTTTATTTTATTTATTTATATGTGGTGCCGAGGAAGGAACCCAGAACTTCACACATGCCAGGCAAGCACTCTACCACTGAGCCACAGCTCTAGCCCACCACTAGGGGCTTTTAAATAGAGGATTTGATAAGATTATCTTGTTTTTAAAAGATGACTGGAATGTGGCACACAGATTGGAGAGAGAAGACAATGCTAAATCATCATAAGGGGACTTTCCTTAGGCCAGGCAGGAGCCAATGAGGGCTTCAACTAAAGAAATAACAGTTGGAGGATAGATGATGGTGTACTGAAGAGGGAATTCAGCAGTATTCAGAGAACAGATAATCTTTTTCAATTGAAGTTCTTCTCAAAGAGATCATTATATGTGAAAAATAGCCATTTCTACTGCATTTTCAGTTTTTTTTCCTGACAAATGACTCCCCAAAGACTGGTTCTCTTCTTCGACTTTCAATTCTTATTTAGAGCCTTTTCATAAGTGAACTTTTTTAGTGGTGATCATGTTTATAAAAAACTTCTGAAATTTAAAAAATAAAATATAATGACAAGCTACTTTTTCACCAAGATCTATGGAAGCTAAAGTACAGCATATGGAACTCAACTTTAAAATCTGGCACTCATTTATTTGCTCGTTATATAGTCCCTTAGGGATTTATTCAATGGCAGAATGGAACAAGTAGTTGGACAAAACTCTAGAGAATATTTTTTCTCTGTAAGTTCTCTACAGGGATTTCCTGCTACCACATTGTCTTGTAGATAATTGATCACAGAATATTAATGCTATAAATTATTTTATAGACTATTCAGACCAATTCCCCTCCCTTTTTTTAAGTAAAAAAAAAAAAAAGATCCAGAGAGGATAAGGGTTTTTGCAAATAAAATACCTCTGCTTTTCTCAAGTAGAAACAAGCTTGAGAAAGCAATCTAACATCTCTGTTGCTGTGGTTTAAGAAAAACAAAACAAAAATAAACAAACAAAAGCAGTCTTGATGAAAACTCTGCACTCCCTGGGACATTGTCAAGCAGAACTAGTTCTGCTTGACAGAGCACGAGGAGGGGGTTTGTACTATTCCTATAACTAAAGCTAATAAGTGTTCTGACTTTGAATCCTGCTTTGTTTGGTAGGAAGCAATGCAGAATCAGGGGAATGCTCATCCCGAGAGAGCAGACTCTGTGCCTAACCCTGTGACTGTGGCTGCCCCATTCATCTTCACCTCAGGAGAGGTTGTTAACCTTGCTAGCCTTGTTTCTTCAACCAACTCCAAAACAACCTCAGGTAATGTTCTCATAACGTGGCACTTATTTTAGACTTAAAAATGAATAAGACCTCGTTTTCCTAGAGATGAATGAGTACTCTGTCTGATATTCTCCAAACAGGTATAGGGATGTAGCTCAGAGATAGAGCACTTGCCTAGCATTCTTGAGGCACAGAGTTCAGTCCCCAGCAGCAAAAAAAAAAAAAAAAGTCCAGTTGTAGATGGACACAATATCTTTATTTTGTTTATTCAGTTTTATGTGGTGCTGAGTATCTAACCCAATGCCTCACACATGCTAGGCAAGCACTCTACCACTGAGCTACAACCCCCAACCCAGCAAAAATATTTTAAAATAAAATATTGCCCAAATAAAAGCTTTTAAAGCAAAGACACTTTTTCTTTCTGGAGGAGGGGAAGATCATACATAGGGATTATACATGAATACTTAGGTTAAAAGAAAAATATTCCACAGATTTGTCTATTGAAGCTTTATGTCTGACCCCAAAATGAAAACATAAGGGTGCCTCAATATGGCACTGTTAAAGGAAATAAACATTCTTTTTTTTTTT